TTCTGTGACAACTTCATTGTGCATTATGGGACTCATCAGCGCATACACTCTCACCAAGGTGCCAATTTTGATGGAAATCTTATAAAGGAATTGCGTTTATTAACCAGCATGAAGAAATCCAGAACACCATATCATCCCATGGGTAACGGCATGTGCGAGAGGTTTAATCGCACATCATGCGACATGTTAGGCACTTTGTCCCCTGACAAGAAAAGCGATTGGAAATCTCACATTGGGCCTCTTGTACATGCTTATAATTGCACACGGCATGATTCAACTGGACGTATTTCTTAATGTTTGGTAGAGAACCACGTCTCCCTCTCGATCTTGCCTTTGGGTTAGAACTTGGCATGACACAGACGTCACTCACTGAGTATACCAGATCACTCAGAAAACGATTGAAGGACTCATATGAACTAGCTTTGGCTTCAGCTAAAACATCTCGTGACAGGCAGAAGAAAGGTTATGACATAAGGTTAGGGGAGCCACACTGCAGACTGAAGATCGCGTGCTAGTAAAGATACTGATAGTGTTAATACTCTAGGTCAACACGTGCGAGGCAACCCCCTAGATGGGTGCGTTCAGGACAGTATGCACTTAGCCATATCACAGCAGAACCAGATTGGATGGCTAGGGTTCTGTACCTAGAGCATTTAACCAACGCTGGAACATTAGAAGAGAGTGCACCGGACATGACATAGGCTTTTCTAAACATTCTCACTCGCCAGAACACAGAATGACAGAGTCGTCATGTTCCTGGGGAGGGAAGAATGTATGATTATGTAATTATGTATGTATTTGCAAGTGCATTTTAATTTGTATTTTAATCACTAAGTCTAGCCCAAGCTTAACCACTCAATTTAACCTGCTTCACTTTCACAATAGCACGGCCACCCTTGCGCTTACGTTGTCTATTGTCTGTATTGTCTTGCCCCAGCCCCAGGCCCCTTATATTCAATAGCAGGGTGTTTTGTGGGTCAGCTTCCATTTTCACTTCAGTCTGTCTGGTCACTGGTCATAGCCCACACCAGCTTATAACAGGTTAGTTTATATTTGGATTGTAAATTTTATGTCTACATGTTTAGTGTGTATGTATTATTTCTTAGCTTCCTTTAAAGCATGTATCATGTTATGTGTGGTAAATGTAAACCAAATTAACTATTTGTAATATGTAGCATAACTAGGTCTTAGCAATACTTTACATATGTAACTTTATTGCTGGTAATCCTAAATAACATTTCCCACGAGGATGTTACCTAACTTAGAAATTATTGTGTAGGTAAACATAATGTGTACATCTACTTCTATAAACTAATGCATCAAACTTTGCATGTATGATTGGATGTAAGTATGATGAGATAAGTTATTGGAACAGATATTTTATGTTTAGTAGGGTGATAATATACAGATGTAGAACGTTACATAGTATTGATTTTATATATGTTTATGTTCAGGTGTGGCAAACATATTTCCGGACGTTTGTGACGTCAAAGGGGCACAGTGCCATACACTCGGTGAGGGTTCTTTCGTAATATAGTGTAAATGAGTGTTATTATATACATATATACAAACATGTCTACTCTGTGACCTGATTTATCAGTAATGAGTGTATTGATTATATATGATCGTAGTACTTATTGCTAAGCCTCACATGTATTGGCCCATGAAGTATTGTAGCGTATTTTGATGCAATGTATTTATTTTTTACAGGGTCTTCCTCAGTTATTATTGCCATTAAACTGACATCTACAGAAACTATTTGCCTTTGTGGTATATACCAAGTCACTCCGGTTACACAAGCAATATAATTTACGCCTTGCACAATTCACACAAGAATAACTGTCTTGCGAAAAACAAAGATAATTATCGTCATTTTTTTAAAGAGACGAGTGGGTAGCGTCTAATATTATTATGTTTATACTTTAATGCTCCTGTAACTACTATTAACTGGAATGTGTGTATGCTTATATAAGAAATATATAAATATATGCTTAATCACTTTCTATGTAGGCATAGGTACACACACACACACCCCACAGTCACACGTTAAACCTAAATACACGTGTGAAGGAAACTCCAGGGGTGGATACAGCTTTTTGAGAAAGAGGGTGGACATCTGCGTTAGGTAGCCTAGTAGTTACAGCGTTAGCTCGTCATGCCGTACACCCGGGTTCGATTATCCACATGGGTACACTGTCTCAGGCCCATTTCTTGTGTCCCCCCACCATGATATTGCTGGAATATTACTAAAAGCGGCGTAAAACCATACTCACTCACTCATTCTAGACGCTGCATATATGTAACAAAATACACGTGGTCTATTGCCTTTATTTGCAAGAAATGATTTGTACATGTAACATTATGTTTTACAGATTATGTAAACGGCACATCGTATTATCAATCTCCACTCCTCGGGATCATACAATGTAAATAAAGAGCATTAACGCTAGTGAATAACCAATCTCGATTAATTGTAGTATATTACATTACATCGATATTTGTCTGTTTTGTACTTCATTTTGCAGCAATGGATTGAGGACTTTGTGAACTAGACAAATGAAATATATTTAGAGTGCAAGAAACAATAAAAATGTTAAGTGTGCCACGGGACTGTAGTTCACCTAGATATTTAGGCAGTTTAAAATGTCCACAGAGAGAATGTCACAAGTTGCTATCAGCATTGCTATTAAAATGTTTCCAGCAGAAGTGCTCAGTAAAACAGTATAACCAATTATGACACTAAACAATATTACCAAATCTTGCAGAAAAAATTATTTTTAACATTTTTCAATGCAGAAGAGTTAAGTACCTTTCTCTCAAAGTTTCTCTTCCTAGGAGAATACTAATTTCAGTTTCAAAAATATTTTAAAAAACCATGATTTCACCATAAGAAGATATATGTAGGCCAAAGTTCAGCATTCTCAGTTTCAGAGGAAATTATGTCAACAACGTCAAACATGCAGTTTGAGAGCAGTACAGTACAATTGGTTTTCAATACAGCTGCAAGGTGGCTAAACATAAAAACAGGAATATATAAATCCCGAGCCCCACTACACGCTACCGAATATGTTTTTACACTTGAAACAATTGCTATTAAGTATCAGCAAAGGTCAAAATAATAAGTATCGCAAACTAATTATATTATATGCAATATATTATCTTTATACAAAGCCAGACGACGGAGGATGCTCGTTCCAAGCTCATTGGCCTTTTTAGGCCAGGTGAGGTAAAATGTCAATATGGATGAAGATGTATAAAAGTTATACATCAATCATTCAATCATTCATCAATCAAAACAATCATTCAGTCATTTTCATTGTTGATAGAATAATGTTATACCTAAAATGTTCCTAATCTCTTTTTTGAGTGTAGAACAGTATGTTCTGTTTGATATCTCCTCTACATTGATGATTATTACATTTTATTAGTTTAGTAATCAGAAACAAAATACTCAAATCCGACTTGAGCATCGCAATCGGCACTAGAGAACTATAAATGAAATACCCCCTGCAAGAAACCACAATCTATTCATCTCATCATCTTAGCGAAGCAAAAATAATAATGAGGATAACATTGTTACGTCACACAATGATATATCTGAATAAATAGTTTACAAGTCACAACTTACAACTTTACAAGTCACATCAAAATAAATGTACCCATTCCAGGTATAGGTTGCTTGGTGTTCATAGAAATCAATCGGGGTTGGGGCTTTATCTTCCCTTAAGTGAGCTCTCACCAATGTTCACATTAATTATGGGTTTTCTAGAGGACGTCTTAACCTTCAAACCCATCATCATAACCTTGATACATCATCTCCTGCTATTATATTGTACTGACCCGACGGAAGATGTCTAATCCTTTTCTACACACGTGTGTAAGTCATTCTTGTTATTTATATAGTTGTGTATATAGACGCAAGGAGATCTTCACATGATATAAATTCTATTAAGAACCGATGAGAAAAGGGTTATGATTTTGAACAATGTTTTAAACAATTTATGAAAACGCTCAACGATAACAGAAATCTGCATAATATATAACGCTGCAACGATCCTTGCTTATGCACAAATGTCATTCCGGTAGCGTATGCCATTCAAATGTAATGACACCCCATACCATTACACAGCTATCCGACATCGACGACATTAAGAAAAGTTCCCCTGACGTCTGGAGATCTTTGCTCGACCATCAGCTGTCTATTTGAGATCTGGACTCACTACACTGTAGTGTCCTAGTTTTGTCTTCTGGACCTCAGATACAGTCTGTACAAAGTTAGGGGTCCTGACGGTGACCGTGAAGCAACATTAGGCGTATTGCTGGACGTTGAGACCGGGGGTTGTACTCATACACCTAAGGTTCTGCCACATATTGGTTTCAACCAAGGATTTATCTGAGCAGTTACTGTGGCAGTTTGATATCCATACCGTAGATGCATCAACTGAATGTGGTCGTCTTTTTGACGTGACGTAACGATGGCAGAACACAGCTGAGAGGCTACTCCCAAAAGCCAGAAAATTAAAGTAGTTAAATCTACTTCCAATTATGACAAAAGGTTAAAAGTTGCTGCAAAAATACAAAGCAAGATACTTTAACAGGCACTTTACCTAGAAGATTACACCGGCCACCGAGAAATCTCCAACCAAGAAGTCAACATAATTCTATGTTCCTGCATCGGAAACTGCTACTTTTGGAGATACTTGTTTTGCTATCTTGAGCGGCTTCATTACTGTGGATTTGCCTATAAATTCCAAATTAAAATCCTCCTGTTCACCAAGGCATGCATGTTGACTCCTTATTTCTGGTCTCATGTAATCTCCGAAAACGCTTTTGAGCAGCTGAATTCAGGTGGAATAGTGCTCTACAAATACAATAATAATACCAGTAATAATATGTACCGTTTGCTGTTAAGATATATCTTTGTTGTCAGTGCAACTGAGCATCACATTCATCAAATACATAATTTAGACCAAGACATGAACTCCAGAAGCTTAAGCATATTAATTTGTTGTTTCAGCTTGTTGTGAACTAGCTGGATGGCGTGCTTCTGTGGCCTTTCCTGGTGACTCCGTCGGTCCAACTAGGGACAAGACAACTGGAAGAAGAAACACTGCATGCAGCATACCCAACAACATAACCGTGAGCATGATGTTGAAGAAGGATTTGAAGATGTAGGACTCGGATAAAACCAGGATTATGACGCCAAGGAAAGAGGAGATGGCGCCATTTAGTACGGGACCTGAAGCATGAACAATAGCATATTTGACTTTTTTCACGACGAGTGCTGCCTTTCTCCGAGCAAGAAGGCTGAGCAGACGTGGACGCTGAAGTCAACAGAGAAACCCACAGACATGATGAGATGGATCATAGTGACTGAGCTGAGACTAAGATCCCAGAAATACAGGAAGCCGAATATTCCGACTAGTATGGACACAATGTTGAAAACAACTAGTGTTATCATGAGTGGATGTGGCATGAAGATACACGTGACCACAGTCATCACGACAAGGGCTACCCCAACAGTCTGGAGAGTGCTGGGTAGAATAGCGACGTACTGCTCAAAGAAGATGAAGGCAGGGTAATAAGTGTAAACTGATAGGGGAGAGCCATCTGCCAGTTCTCGCATCCGAGTCATCACCCGAGCCTGCTTATTAGAATCCTTGATGTCATCAGAGAACAGGTAACAGCGACTAGCAATAATATGCTCACCAATACCGTTAAAAGCCACGTCGTTTTTGAATGCTGGCGTTTCATTTAGAAAGTATTGCGCTCCTGATACAAATGTTGTCCCACTCGTGTCATCAAAATAGGAAGAATTCATGTAATTCGTCAACCAACACACTGAAGACTGTGAATTTACTTCACTGTCTGATTGTGCGTCTGCAAGCAGTTTGTTAATTTGTGTTATTGTGTCTTTGTTCAAATAGTTGGTTGTGTCTTCAAATATGAAAGGAATTGGGAAAGTATTGGGAAAGTAGGTGTCTTTGATATCTGTGTATGAGTAGAAATGAGAGGATGGTGAAACCAGGTTCTTTAGATCAAGACCTTGCTTAAGGTTGACAAGACCATATATGGATACACCCAGGTATGATAAATACACAACTACGACTGTTATTTTACCAGCAACATGAAGGAGTATGACAGGGAGTATTTTTCTTGGACCAGTCTCGCATATACGTTCATCTTGCTCTCTTTCTTTAGGACGTGTTCCTCCACAACTGTACACGTAGAGACAATGTTTGTTCTCTTCTCTGTAGTCCAACCGACTTTTCACTCTAAGGCAGGTCAGGCAGTGTCGGCGAGCGTCTACACGGCTGCCGTGAAGACTCAGACAAGGTGCAAAGAAGAAGCACTGGTACAGGTAGCAGAAGATGACGGCCACCCCTAGGGAAACAGATGTTGGAACAATATATGAAATTACATAACCGAACACGAATCATCTTGTTAATAAAAAGTGGAATGCATGGATTCGTCTTTCATGTTAACATGTAATGTCATATGTGGCACGATGAGAATAAAGACAGCTCTCTTGCTATGAATGAAGATTTCCTCCCCATCGACTTAGAACGATTATATATTTATAAGGGGTAATTCGAATCAGTTTAAGATTACATTCGATTAAGGTGTGACCGTCTTTGGCAGCTTGACTCCTGAGAGTTTCTAGGACTTTAGTCCTGCCCCACAAGGAAGCACTCCCGATGGGATAAGTCGTGTTATTATTAACCTTCTAGCGCCTCACAGGCGGCTTGGGTTATCCGGGGCAATAATAATCAGATTATATGTGTTAGTGCTATGAGCATTCACCTAGTGAATGCACTTATCATTATTATTATTACATTCATGAGAATCCACACCTGTATATACACAGAAGTTCCTGACGCTGATGAAGACGGAGGATGTTCCAATTATGAAGGCAAGAAGGTCTGTCAGTGATGTTATGGTGATACCAATGCCAGCTGACGCAAACGTCATCCCAATCCTGTTTGCCACAGACATGTCGTGATGAGGGTAGGTGTCCGCCCAGCTTGACATCAACAGGAACATGTCGTCCACACCAATACCTGTTATAAAATATAGGCTTTAAAACGTCACTTAACAACACTTTCATGATAAAAGAGGTCTGTTATTATATTTAACTTTATGAACGTAAGAAGAGTTCTGCGTGTATTTGAAATATGCAGATACCTAGGACAAGAAATGGCATCGTCCCAACAATGTTGACAAACTTCATTCCACACAGGCTAACAAGTCCAAGGGAAGATGCTATCCCCATTCCAGCCGCTAGAACACCTGCCCAGGAAACCCACGTCCTCGATGACACCATGTCACCACCAACGATTATTGTTGCATAAGTGATCATCAGCGTGAACGTTATTGAGAAGTAAGTGATGTCCCCTCCGGTGTTGGCATCCAGTTCCTTGTTCAGAGACTGCGATGCAGCATAGCTCATGGTAACGTTTTCAGGTTTCAAGGTTGACATTACTTTGATGAACTCATCTTCCCAGGCAATCGCTGCAGCACGAAGGATGACCGAGTCCTGCCTCAGGTGGAAGGTTACTTCCAGGTACCCTGCTGAAACTAATTTACCGTCCTTTGCGTTGACATTTCCTAAGACTGAAGACAAATCTACATTGTTGAATACCGGATAAGTTACACCACCAGTAATAGAACCATTGAACGTATCACCAGATCTGTAGCAGCTTCCGTCTCTTCTAGCACATACATCAGAGTAGGAATACTGAATATTGTTGAGCGTAACAGTTATATTCTTGATATGATCAATATAGAATCGTATTGCTGACAGTGAGTCCTCATCAACAACATTTACATCTGAAAATATGACATCCCCGTATAGGTCGGACTTTGTCAATGAGCGAGGGAAGAAGTTGCTGCCTGAGTCGTCTTCAAATACCGCCTGAATCTTCTCTCTGTCCTTGGAGGCCTGACTACCCACTGGAGTATACAGAGTTTCTGTGTCCGACTCCGACGTCAGTTTAAACATCCCACAGCTCAGACCAGCAGTCACGATTAATGACAACGCGATGAGCTTGATAGGATGGGAACCAATCAGGATTCCAAGATTTCTGAATCGATCCGTGAACCATTTCGGGACCCGCACATAGCAAGCCATGTTTTCATTGGAACCACCCTCTTGTTCGCCTGTAATTGAAAGTAAAATATGCCTTTACCATAAATAAATAATAATAATAAATACTGAATAAAATCAGGGTGTATTTCAACGCTTTTGAATACCTTTTGGCGAACACCTGGTGTCATATCTGATTTTTAGTGATCCATTATATCTTTCACCGCTAGTCCATCTTTTACACCAAATAACGACTGTTTCTGCAGATACTCGAGAGTGGTTATTCTTTTGCAATGGAATTGTTATTTGAGTTATTTCAGGTTTTGAATCGTTCAAGTTGTATTTATAGAATAAAGTGAGTTAAGGGTTTATCTGTCAGCTATATATCGAAGAGAAAGTGAGATATGGTGTGTTTTTCTTCTTTTTAAAAAAAAAGTCAACAAGAATGTAACAGGGTCTTGACACATAAGAGATGATATTTTGGATTGTTTACGTACACTCATCAAGAACACTTCGTTATTTCAAATCCCAAACTATGCAAACCATGGACCATGTTTAGAGACAGCTTCACTTACCCATATCACCGCCCTGTCTTGAAGAGGTTGATAGATTATGTCCCCTTCAATGAAAGTATATTGAGGAATTCTGAAGAAAGATATGATAAAAAGCCAATCAACATTTAACAGCCCTATCACATGATACTTATCACTCGTGAACTGAATAGTTCACTTCAATGTGAAATTGCCATTATTATATTATGGCTTTTATGCCGTTTCTATTCATCATCTGCTAGTGTAACAATGCAGTAGGTAGTCATATATCAACTGCAGGGAAACATATATTTGTCAACCACATACATATTTTAATTTTGCCTTTCCATGTCAGATAACAGGATTATCATATCGAGCAAACCTGACAGTGTGTCCTTGTCACAGGAAAATAAAAACACTATTTTCTATTATAAAGAGCCAAGTGTTCTGTTCGTCATTCCTTTTCTTACTGATCTTGGTCAGAATAACAATTCCGGCATACAATGATATTTTATAGCGAAACGCCACGTGTACATACAAGAAGTCATATTGTGTCACACAATATTAGTTTTAATCTGATGGATCTCGTTGTAATTCATTCATAATGCGTCACATTTCACACCGCCAAATCAGTCAGGGTCATGTTATTGAACAAGCATATTGTAACACTAGTTAGGGAAATGTCTTTCGACAATTCCGACATGACCATCAAATGGTTTAGTCTGCCCTTGACGTTTTAAGGACAAGGAACTGTTAATATATACGCTATTGTCACTTCCTTATACCCTGTCAAATGCCCCTTTAGAATCAACAGCACAACAATCTTTACAGACAATTTAACCTGCCAGGATCAACATGAGCAACACAGGTGGTTATGTGGTTATGCACATCGTATCATACAAGGTGTATACCCAGGCGAAGTACACATAAACTGATAAGGAACTGATGGATTATATACCATCAATAAGAATAAGACAGCCAGATCTATCTCAGGAAGAGCCATTTGTGGATGGAATTAAGAGACAATCTAAACACTTATATTACACGACATAATATATACATATTAGTTTCCTCTCAAAACCGTAGAATCCATTTCATGACCCAAACTAAAGAAAATTCTGTTACACAGGAACATGTAACGTGAAACATACATTGACGCCGATATTTGTCTTTTGGGGGGTTAATTTATACAATTCAGTTGTAATGAATACTCTAGTAAGAAAACAACGCATATACATTCAAATAAAGTAATTGATCAAATTTCTATAAAACTTACCAGTATTACATCAGACTGAGAAGTAAGTATTACAATTTGAAGTACGATATCGGCTTTGACTTGCCTGTCAGTACGTCCAAGGATAAGTCGGCAATACCCATTGGCCAATACCTTGCCTGCATTGCAAATGTGATCAAACACTGGTGATTTATGGCCTTAAGTGTTGAGCAGCCCATGGAAGTTAAACACACTTCCATGTAGATGTCGACTCATTTGTGGGTGTCTTAGGGGAAATGCCTATATATTCCTTCAGACCTCTAGAATATTTTCATTCTCCGTTAACAATCGATTTTAGATCGACTTAAACCCTAGTAGCTAATGTATCGGCAAGCTGTGAAGTGTTCTTGCTATGCGACAGATAACACTGACGGGGAAAAACCCAAACATTATGCTTTGTCGCAAGAGAGATAATCCTTACATGGGTAGTTCGTTCAACTTCTCTTTTCAATCTAATTGATCATACACCAGTGTCAGACGGTAGAGGTTAAGTTAATATCCAACGTTTTGAAAAAGCTGTGGGAAATTCAAACCATTCAGTTCATGCTATCATATCCTGACAGTTACATAAAATATGTTTAGACAAAAATGGATATATATGGTTTTCTGTAATTTATCAATCGGCATTATATCTAAACTTAAAGTAACCTGTGTGAGATACCTTAAGTATTAAAAATGTTCACTGCAAATTTACAGACAGTATATCTAAAAAAGGCCTGCACAATATTACATAGACAAGTAGTGTAATGCTTAAATTTTAGCCATATTCATAGTAAATTGCTAAACACAAATATTTGTCTTTAGCAAACCAAATAACTACTTATTGCTCTTCTTTGAGGGTTGGTAGAATATATTTGAACATTATGTGGTTGCATGGCCGCAGCTAACTTATTAACAGTCTTCAGTTTGTTCGAATGAATTGATAAAAACACGTTCTTTATGCAGCGATATAGTCATGTTCAGCTGCTTTCGAACACATGTTTCGGTAACATGTGACACCGGCTTGATCACCTTTTCATGCAAATCTTGAATCATCACTATTTGATACTGATTCATTAAAACATGCGCATGATTTAGTTAGCGCATTCTGACAAACACATGGTACCTGTAATAAATTCATGCATGGGTAAAAAAATTACACAAGATAAATTATGTAACTACTGTGTCGTTTTTGTAACAGATGCGTCAAATTCGGAAATGTCCGCATTATGTCTGCCATTGAACACCCCACTGAGGCATTGAATGGTGCAACATTATCAAGTGTTTGAAACGTTCCTGAAAAACGCATGCTAGGTTGTATGTCTGTTGATGCATCCTCAGTTAGAAATTACCATTTGTCAGAAACCTTGACTTATGACCTATCTCTCCTCTCCTGGCGTTTATAATTAATCCCGACAATGCAACCTACAAGACATCCAGTCACACAAACAATATTGCCAAATCTAGTTTGTTTATAATATAAACCACTTGATCACCTCAGTGTTATTTTGTCCAAAGACATGATGTGCTCTTCCCATATTAACCGTACATGTATATGGAATTCTGTAGGGCTGCAACGAGTCACCCATACCTCAATTCGATAAAATTTTCGATATTGGACACTCGATTCGATCATTTTCGATTCGATTCTTCATACAAGTAAAAACATCAGATTTCAGTTAACTCTCCGAGTTCCAGTGAGTCGGCCTTTTTGCGTGAAATCCATCGTCAACTTGGCGATGTCTACTAACGACAATGCTCATTAGACAATTAGCCCGGCATCAACCAATCACGTTTCGCCTTATTTCAGGGCTCGAAACTGCTCGAGATGGATTACAAATTACCTTCTCGCTGTGTGGAAACAATTGAATTAGATATTCAAATATCGAATCGAAATTGTGATTATAGTTATCGAAACTAAGATGTCAGATTCGATTTTCGATGAATTGAATCGAATCGTTACAGCCCTAGAAATCTGCATCAAAAATTATATTTTCAAGCCAAGTCAAGTTATACATACTATTCCAATTCCCCGTTTAATTTGTTATCACATTTGTGAACTGAGGAACAGTTTTCATTTCGCCAATGCTCGCCATAGGTTTTTACATAAATTTCTTAATAGTTTTTCATTGTTTGAATATAAAACTGTTTATAACTTATAAATATTTGAGGTATGTACAGCTGGTGTTATTTCAATTTTAAATTGGTGTAAAGGAACAAGCAAAAATGACATACATCTTCTGGCTCAAATTTACATAAAAAACTAAACCACGTGAGAAAAGCACTTTAGGAAAATTTGTTGAGTATGTTTTATTGCCACAGTTATCAAGCACATTTGCGGTTTATAAATTTTACAGGTATATCATGTTCATGCATTTCAACAAGTTATAACCAATTCAGTAATGCCTTGTAAATGGTGTTTATATGGAGGGGTAAACAACTTAAAAGAACAATAACATTAGGTGTTTGGGGAATTAACGTTCAAGAAATGAAACTTATAGGAAATTCAATATTATCATGTATATGCATATCCCATACTTTAGCTCCATATAACAAAATCGGCAATATCCGAAAACAACACACGAGGCTGCAAAGTCAATACTTGCTAGATTAGTAATTACCTCCATTAATGATTATATTTTCGCTATATTTTCTGTTTTCATACGACCTGTTCGCAAATGCGCGTCTAAAGTCTGGGATAATCCGCACCTTGAAAAGATACAAATAGAAGCAGCGAAAAGGGTTATTGTATTAATGGTATAACGCATTTCCAGTTAGATTATGTTATGACACAGGATGGGAGACACTCTCAAGCAGAAGAAAAGCTGGAAAACTTTCTACTTTATTTATAAGTATTAACTCGTTATTTCCAGCTCACTTGAATGACATGTTGGAATCTTGTTAACTACTCATGCTATTATTGCTATGAAAGCGTAGTACTTTGTATGCACGGGATTTTTTCATTTCAATAATACATTTGTCCGCTGTCTTTATTAATGTTTAACGTAATGTGAACTCATTCAACAGGAGAGCAACATAATGGCATCCCCAAATAAAACTTGCAATAGTTATTTACCAAGTAGGATTTACGTATAATTTGAATTGTGTATGGAATGCATTAATCCTCAGCTTTCTAAACACATAATCTTTAAGAATACCGAGTGCTTTATGCAGATTGTCTAATACATTTTCAAAATCCTGGAATAGAACTGTTGTTAATATTTTTAACCATTTAGATGTCCCGTGGTGGACCTGTCTAATAT